GCTTGCCTAAGCCTACTAGGCCTAGGTCTTCGCCCATCCCACACGCATCGCCAACTGCGCACGCGGCTCGTCCATGCACCGCCTGCTCCCGCGTGTCCTTGTCAACCGTGCGGTTGCTACCCACGCTTGATAACCCCGCGATATTCCAGCTCAGCGCCCTAGAGCTCCGTTCGTCTATTGTGCACCTTTGTGTGCTCAGCGCTGTCTGCGTACCGTCCAGCGCCCGATGCGTGCTTGTCCTTTTGCTGCAATCCCTCGTGCGCATTAACCTCCCGACATCCTCCCCCTGCGCACCACTTCGCCTAATCTCCAAGCGCCATGCGTGTCTACGCCAATGCGCATGTTCGCGCCCTTCCTTGCGGTCGTCCCACGTGCGCGCTGTTAACCAAACATCCACCCCTCGCGCACCACTCGTCCCCTCAGCAATGTAAACGCCCGAGTTTGCTATCGTACACTCGGCCCTGGTCCCCTGTGCGTAGTCTTTCCTCCATTGCCCTAATGTCGCACGCTGATGGACTACCTTCTCGCGTGCCCTTGCGCACATCCATGCACTCGACCCTTCAAGCCTTGATCTCTCGAGCCTCTTGCTCGACCTCCTATGCCATTGTGCATGTCGGCACCCTTGCATACGGGCTCGTGTACGTCTCCTAGGCCATGCAAGCCTTGTTTGTGCCCTTTGCTCAGCCTTGTCCATTAGTCTCGGCCCTCGGCCTTTCCTATCATCGAGGGTCAATACCCACTTCCGTATCATTCCCGCCCCCTTCAAGAATGTCCTTGTCCTCAAGGACTCATCATCGACCATTAATTGGGGCGTCATCACCTCATTCACATTATGCATCTCTTCACTGTAGTCTTTTTCGATCACGTCCGATATCTTTTTCTTGACTTCGACCAAAATTCCTTCCCCCTCGACAAAGTGCTCGTCGGGGTATACATCGAAAATAGGCGTTCCTTCATAATCCATTGACTCATTCTCGTACTCGTCGACCTTTGGGTCCTCAAAATATTTTGAGAATTCGAACAGAAGGATAGGCTCCTTACACTTTGCATCGTCTCGGCCTTCTTTGTCGGACTTGCCTAGTATGTGGTCGGATGCTCTAACC